CGCGGCGGCGTTTATGGCCCGGGAGGCGGCCGCGCGGGGGCTGGAGTCGTCGGGCCTTTGCCCGCGGTCGCCGAGCCGCCGCCCTCCTCCCGCAGAGCGAGCCCGTCGGCAGCGCCCCCTGCAGGGCGTGGGCGGCAGTGCCTTTGGTGGCGGGTCAGGAGGCGGCGGCCCGGGTCCCTTCCGGGATAGCCCCAGGGGCCAGCGCGTCCCTTTCCCTAGGACAGTGAGAGCGGGGACTCCGCGCTTCCCCCCGGGATCTGCTCAGTCTTTGGCATTAGATCTCAGGTTTCAAACAGCGTTTCCAATACACCGATCCAGTGAATGGATTTCCAGAGGGAAACCTCTCTGGATCTCTGAAAGTCAGCTCACCCAACCTTGAATGTGTAGCCAGACATGAGAACTTCTGGAAAGACCATAAGCCTAAGATCCTTGCCCAGGACCCCCTCACCACCCTCCCAGGCTTATGAAAAGTAGTGGGTGAGGGAAAACTGATGGAGGATGGACGTATTTAAAATTATGCATTATATCCCTTCAATTTTTCATCGGTATGATTGGAAGGTCACAGTAGGCTGTCGATCAGCTGTTCCTTGGCATCTTTTCTGTTGTGGCATGGTTAATTGGTTTTGTAACAGTTCCAAGAAACTGGCAAGAAGCGCCTTCATTCATGATGCTAATGGTTTAATGATAGAAGCTAACATTTATTGTGTGCTTACTGTATGCCAAGTACTGTGCTAAGTGCCTTTCATGGATTATCTCATTTTCTACTTGTAATTGACTTGTTTTCCCATTCTGTGGTTGAGGTACGAAGACGTTAAGTAACTTGTCTGAGGTCACACAGCTACTGAGTGGCAGAGCAAAGATTTGAATCCAAAGTTCTCTCAATTAACCAGTGCTCCAAAGACTAGTCCTCAAGAGCGTTCCAGGTTTTAACAGAGCAACTCAGGCTTGAACACGATGTCTTCATGATGTCAGAAGGAGCCTGAATAACTATTAGCCAGAGGACACATGAGTCTGAGGCTTGTTACAACAGTTAGTACTCAGGACAGTAGACTTCACAGAGCAGAGCTGCTTACCAGCTTGGGTGGCTTATGTGAGAGAAATAGCCCATCTGGCTTAAACCACGGTTGTTCCATTCTTAGAGAAGCAGAACCAGTATCTGCACTAATACAGTGTTTTAAGTTTTGCCATTTGGGGATGTAGTCACATTTTAGAGGTAGGTAGGAGGATAGCTCTGGAACCAGACTGCCTGTATTCAAATCCTACCACCTGTAAGCTGCCTGACTTTTATTTAGTAAGTTATTTTACCTCTCTGCGCCTTTGTTTCCTCTTTATTCACTGCTAGAATAGGAATAATGATAGTACCTACCTCATGGTTGTGGCAAGAATTAAATGGCATGATGCATGTCAAACTCTTAGCCTAGCATTTGACATAGAATTAAATACTCTATAAATAACTCTTATTATTAATAGTATTGTTACAAGTAGTAAGCTGCTGCTGATGGGTGCTGTGTCACAGTGCTTGAAGTCACCTTTAGAAATTTATTCCTTTGTGCCATCATTCAAATGCAGAAAGGACAGTGGTCCGGTGCAAATGAGATTTGTTCATTCAGCAAATATATATGGAGTGCCCTCTGTGTGCCAGGTCCTGTTTTGGATACTGGAGATACTGCAGTGAACAAAACAAACAAAAATCCCAGTCCTCATTAGCACTTACATTCTGGGGGGTAGGAGGGGCAGACAATACGCAAAATAAATGTAATTATCCTGCAGTGTATTAGGAAGTGATATGTACTAAAGAGAAACATAAAACGGTAGGAGAGTGGGAGATGGGGAAGGGAGGTTTATAGTTTTATGTAGTAGTCTCTGAGAGCCTCACTGAGCAGGTGACATTTCAGAAAGAACTGAAGTTAGTGAGAGAGTGAACCATGTGGACATCTGTGGAGAAAAGTAGGCCAAGCAGAGAGAACAGCTAGTACCAAAGCCCTGAGGTGGGAGGATGAGCAGCTGGAGCCTGGAGAATGGCAGAATAGTAGGAGAAGAGGTCAGAGAAGTAATGGGTAGGAGGCCAGAATGCATAGACCTTGCAGACCTCTGAACAGAGAAATGACATAATCCAATCGACACTATGAAAAGATCACTCTGACTTCTGTGTTGAGGCTCAACTACAGAGGGGCCAGAGGTAGAAGCAGGAGGCCAACTGAATTAATCTAAACAGAGATGATGATGGCTGGTACCAGAGTGGAGTGGTGGAAGGTGGTGAGAAGTAGTTATATTCTAGATACATTTTGAAGATAGAAACTATAGGATTTGCTGACAGATCAGATGATCCCAAGGTTTCTGGCCTCAACACCTGGAAACAGTTGCCATTAATACTGAGAATGGGGAAAACTGCCTTTGGGGCAGGTTGGGAGATAAATTAGTTCAATTTTGAACACATTAATTCTGGTAGACATCCAACTAATGCTGTCAGAGTAGCAGTTGATTGTACGAGTCTGGAGTTTAAGGGGAGAAGTTTTGGAAATAAAGGCTTGGGCTTGTAGGCAGTTATGTGCTGGTAAATGTTTAACAGTTGACTCTGCAAGAGCTGAGGATTGGTGGTGGGGAACCTGATTTATAGCCTTTGCCAATAACTGTGGTGTAAATAATCCCACGTGGGCCAATTTCAAGCACACCATTATAGAATATCTTCACTTAGTAGATTCAGTAGAGGTAAATAATGTCAAGAGCATAGATAATAGTGAAATGATTAGAAAATGATGAGTTTTGAGTATTTATTACCTTTGTTTTTAATATAATTTATTTAGTTTTAAATTTATATAATTCCATTTTTAATAATGGCTGTGTTTAACAACGGGCTTGAAAAATTCCTGAAAATTTAGCAATCATATCTTATGTGTAGCACATCACTTACTATAGTGACCCAGGATTGGTACCTAAAGAGGCGATGGGAATGAGGATTCTCTGAGATTAGGGAGGAGTACTGACCTCCAGAGCCTGACCTGGAAGCTCTTGTCCCCAGTCTGGCCCTGAGGAGAACGAATGCAGATCACATTAACAGCAAGCTTGACTTGGGCAAGAAGGCAAGAGCGCAGGGCAAATACCTGGGTTGGCTATTGAAAAAAGCACTGAGTACATCACCTTGTACTTTAGTTTAAAATGACCTTTAATTTGAACTCTTGTTTTACTCCCACGTGCTCTTTTAAAAATTCCAAACTCACGGGCTGTGATTTGAGGAATGTTTTCCTTCTCCTGCCTCTCACCCAGAAGGTAGCATTGTCAAAGGCCAAAAGGGAGCGGATGGCAGCGGCCACTGACCTTTACCTCCCAGCTCCTTTCTTCCCCCTTCATCTGTGCTGGGCATAGAGCAGCAATCCTGCTTCCTCCTGTGGTTTACCAGAAACCACAGTGCTGCCGGGGCTCTAGCTCAAGCTGGGCCATCTGTGCTGGGACTGGTCAGGACAGGTGCCTGGGTGCTGACTGTATCTGCCTCTTCTGCTTGCGTGAAAACAAAGTCCGGAACTGGATTATATTCCAAACCCCCTACCTAGCCAAGTCAGTGTTCCCACCTGCCAGGATGTTAGCAGAGCCCTTCTTTAACAGGTGAGTCTCTCCAGGATAACTGGTAGGAACCTCTCAGACTTGGAGTGGGGGCTGTGAAGGGTGCCGGGAATGGGACCACGTGCCCACAGTCAGTCCTGGCTCTAAGATGAGCCTGTCAGAAGAAGGTTTTTTCCACGCATCTGTAGGATGCCCCCACAGCACTGCACTTTGCAAATGAGTGTATTTCTGGCTGGTTTCTTGAATAAGAATTGTTACAAATGACATTGCGTCCTCTACATACATGAGTTATAACTTCAAAGAGTTTTGTTTTAATTTCTGAATGACTCTTAATTATCAGCTCGCTGCTTCATATTTTAGTTCTGTATCTTCCTGTCCTGCTGCACTGGTCTAAGTCTCTAAGCACTTACCTGTCCTTATAGAAAGGTGGAGGGCATCTCCCTGATAATAGGGTGGGTATCTCCTTTCCTTGGAAAACATAGGGATTAGGGGCAGTAAAATATCAAAGAGATACTTTAGTTCAGTCTCTCATGTCCTAGATGAGGAAACTGAGGCCCAGCCAAGTTAAATGATGCGTTCAAGGTTATGTGGTTGTTTAGGGGCAGAGCCTGGATAAGAATCACCACATATTTCAGTTTCCAGTGTAATACCCTGCCCTTCCTGTCCTACAGCTTCTCAGACTTTTCACTAAGGGCTTTCTTATTGATTTAATAATAATAATAATAATGAGATTCATAGTTGGATCAGGTGTTGGAAGGAGGCAAGAGGGAGAAGCACTTCAGAAAGAAACCTTGGTAGGCAGAGCCTCCGCAGCATGGAGGGAGGCTGAGGCCTCAGGGAGATGTGTTGGAGCCACGGTTTCCCCTGTTACCTCATGTCTGCTCCAGGCTGGGGTCCTCTTCCTGACTCTGACTTCAAATGGACTTTGGGCCCATTTGTTTCCCTGTCAGGCAGCTGGGAGGGTAACCACACCAGTCCTTCTGCTCCAGGGTCGGATGTGAGGACTGGTTGGGAGTGTTGAAGAGCAGGGTCTGCTCTTCAGTGCTGTCTGCAGGGCTTGGCTGTGTAGCCCCAGGAGATGAGGGAACCGCACAGCGTTCTTCCTGACAGCCACAGTACTATGCCAGCCTTGGGGGCCGACAGGCAGTTTACATTTAATTAACTTAATTCATTAACATTTATATAGCGTTTTTGTCACATGTATCATCTCAGTTAATCTTCACAACCATCCCTCCTTTAGATTGGTGGTATTAACCCTCTGTTATAGAGGAAGAAACGTGGACCCCAGCTGATTCGCAGATTCAGTTAGGCCATATGGCTAGGAGGTGGTCCTGGGCCCAGGTGCTCAGACCCAAATACCACCTTCCTCTACTCGACTAAGGAGGCTGGTTAGCATGGTGACTGAGGTCTGGACTTTGTAACTAACAATTTATTTCACCTCCCAGTTTCCTCATCTGTAACATGAGAGTCGTCCCAGAACCCCCTCACAAGGTTGGTGTGCGGAATGATGGAGATGGTACATTGAAAACAGCTGGCGCACCCTGACTGCTTGGCCAACATGGGTGATACTGTTGGACTCACTGGTTTACAGACAGTTTTTTCAGGGGGATGGGAAAGTTGAACCATTCGAGGCTGCTTTGAAGTACCACGTTTGGACTCCCCTGGACCTACTGAATCAGACCTTGTCTTAGTGGAGGGGTGGGCATCTGGGTGTGTGTGTTGAGATTCTGATGCCATCCTCTGGCAAGAGCCGTTGCTACAGAGCTCAGGGTTCCAGAGTCATGCTCCTCAAAGTGTGTGCAGCCATCAGCTCCTCAGGCCCTTCCTGGACCTTCTGCATCAGAATTTGCATTTTAAAAAGATCCCCAGGAAATTCAAATGCACATTAAAGATTGAGAAACATTGTTAAGGTTTAAAAAAATGATTAAAAAAAGAATGCATATACACCCCACCCACACCGACTTAGGAAAGAGTGTTCCCTAAATTGTTTAACAACTGCAGAACAAGCAACCATGTTGAAATACCCGATATCTTAGATTTGTGTTTGTTTAAAGGGTGCTGGGAATGTAAGCAAGAGATAAGGGAGGCTAACCTGAGACGGGGGGGACCCAGAACAGGACTGGTCAGGGAGGATTGTGGCAAGACTTCATGGTCAGAACAGGATTGAATAGAGGGCCAGGAGTCAGTTCGGGCCAGGTGGCCATCCATCAGGGCTGCCTGCAGTCTTCTGGAGTGGGGGCAGAGGTGCTGGCCCTAGGGGCTCCCCCATCCAGGCACTCTGGGGCTCCTGAGCTCCTCCCCTTGTACCAGGCATGGCCAGTGCCCTGGCTACCAGGAGCCGATCAGGAGCCCTGCAACGCAGCTTGCCAGCTGGCGGCTCCCCCTTCTCCAGGCTGTTCTCTGGGCTTCAGATTTCTCACCGCCTCTCTCTGCACTGACCTTGCAGCTTTTCCTTCCCTCCAGACAGGGGCGACTGCCAGTTGAGAAGGAAGCACTTGAAGGGCCAAGGACAGGGGTTGAAAAGCAGGAGAAGAAAGTAGAGTGGTGCTGTGGTCTGTGTATTTGGGGGTGAGTGCAGATAAACGGAGAGTGAACAAGGAAGGTTGGGGGGTCACTCATGTGGTCTCTGACCCTCCAGTTAAAGATCCCATGATGGAAATGTCAGTTGTCCTGTAAACAAGGGTACAAACACTGTGATGCGTCCTCATCTTGCTCTAGCCACTAACTAGGGCCATCTTGGGGATGGATCTCAAGAGAGATGAGAGAGAGGCAAAGGGAGAAGGGGGCAGGAGGGTCTGCTGTCAGAGTCAGGAGGCAGATGGGCCCTGTCTGTGTAGGGATGGCGGTTAAGATAAGTTGGCCGGTTTGGGCCTTTTATAAATTCAGTTACCTCTTTAATCCTCAACTTCCCATCTGTATAACCAGATTACAGCACCCTAAGGTTGTTGAAGAGTTTGTTAATCCTCCGTCTGGTAGAACACCTGGTACGTTACAGGTGCTAAGTCTGTAGTCTTAGTTCCTTCTTCACTGCCCCGAGGCGGCCCCATTTCCCATCTATTCCTGATGACTGTGGGGCTGGCCACGGTTACTCTCCTCCATTCCTTCTACCCTTCCCTCCAAGCACCTGCTGTTGTGGGAAACTGGAGGACTGGAGAGCTGTGGAGTGAGAACGCGGTGCATTAAGCCCTCCAACCTTGGTCAGAGTGGAACGCCGGGAGACACACACACTGCGGTGCCTTTGTGGCCTGCCCTAGGCCTTTTACCACTTGTACATGTCAGCTGCTTCAAATTAGGCTGAAAACCAGCCAAGGTGGTAGACTCACCTGGGAGAGGTTGTGGCACGCAATGGCTGCATGCTAGCACGGGAGCCTGGTTTCAGTCCCAGCTCGCCCACTTCCTCGTTGGTGGACCACCCTCTACCAAGCCTCAGCAAAAGGGAGGACTATAGTAGAACCCACCCCATGTGTTTCTTCTTGGGATTCTCGTCTGGATTCACTGAACTGCACTAAGTACTCAGTGCAGTATTTGGCACAGGCTAGCACTCAGTGTTTGCTGCTGTTATTACTGTCACACAAGAACAGCTGCCACTTACACTGTGCTTAAGAGGTGGTAGGCACTGTACTAAATTAATAAAGTTTTAACTCATTTTATCCTTATAACAACCCTTTGTTATAGGTACCACTATTACCCCCATTTCAGATGAGAAAACTGAGGTACAGTGAGGCTAAAGAATTATTCAATTACTAAGGGGTTGAGTCAGGATTCAAATTCAGGCAGTTGGTTCCAGAGTGTTTTTAATCGCTGTGCTGTAGCAATTATTAGTAATCATTTTGTGCTTAGAGCCCAGTAGACATGGGAAAAACAAAGTGAGAAGGGAAAGGAGGCAGTCTTGTCCTCTCACAATTCCAGCCGTCATCAAAGGGCCTGCTGGGCTGCCGCTGCCTGCTGCTCCAGGTGACCTGTGCTCACAGGGGAACCTGGCCTTGTTCATCAAGTACGCAGCTCCAACCCCAGCCCCCTGGGCCTCCCTGGTGGCTTGTGCCACTTTCCTGTGCTTCCAGCAGCAAAATGGCCCACCTCTAGCAAGTGGCCTAGGACTTTCCCAGGCATGGTCCCTGTCTGTAGGGCAGGCTCCCTACCCACTGACGTCTTGGCACAGATGCTAAGCTGGCCAGGAGGGAGGGGAAGTTGTGGGACTATAGCATCTTCCTAAGAAACACAGGGCTGTTTCTTGCCAGGCAGGAAATGTTTGATACCCTAGAAATGTGTTTGCTTCCACATTGCAGCCACCTGAACCGTGTCTGATCCTTCCTTATTCCTTGTCTGTCTTTCCCAGGCACCTCAGGCACCCAGGTATTTGGAAGATGCTCACAGTGACAATGTGCATGGTCCTTCTGGGCTGCCTACAGGCCCACAAGCTCCAGGGACATGTCTCCATAATCCTGCTGGGAGCAACTGGGGACCTGGCTAAGAAGTACTTATGGCAGGGACTATTCCAGCTATATCTGGATGAAGCGGGGAAGGGCCATAGTTTCAGCTTCCATGGGGCTGCTCTGACGGCCCCCAAGCAGGGCCAAGAGCTCATGGCCAAGGCCCAGGAATCTCTCTCCTGCCCCAAAGACATGGCAGCTGGTGACTGTGCTGAACTCAAGAATCAGTTCCTGCAGCTGAGCCAGTACCACCAACTGAAGACACCTGAGGACTATCAGGCTCTCAGCAGGGACATCGAGGCACAGGTCCAGCATGAAGGCCTCTGGGAGGCTGGTAGGATTTTCTACTTCTCGGTGCCGCCCTTTGCCTACACAGACATTGCCCGCAACATCAACAGCAGCTGCCGTCCGGGCCCAGGTGCCTGGCTGCGGGTTGTCCTTGAGAAACCCTTTGGCCACGACTACCTCTCAGCCCAGCAGCTGGCCACAGAACTTGGGAACTTTTTCCAAGAGGAGGAGATGTACCGGATAGACCATTACCTGGGCAAGCAGGTGAGCTCAGCTTGGAGCCTGCCAGGGTTGGGGTAAGCTGGGTGCCAGTTGACCCCATGAGCAGGGCCACACCACTCACTGTGGAATTAGGCCAGAGATATTGTGAGAGCTGAGCTCCCGTGGTCTCCTGGAAGGCGGGCAGGAGGTGAGGAGGCAAAGGAAAAACAGTGAGCTGTGGGCAGGACTGTGTGGTCCTTGTCCAGGTGTCCAGCCTCTTGTTTTTTGTGTGTCTCCTGTGTGTCCCCTGTCGTCTTTGTTTCCCAGCCAGAGTCTGCATCCTCAGTAGAGGTGGCCCAGGGACTCTGGTGTCTGGATCTGGCTTCCGGTAGGGTATGCTGTGGGAATTAGAATTAGCTTTCTTAATTTTTCAAAATCTTTTTCAAAATCTACCATTTTTCAAAATCTTTTTCTTCCTGAGTTCTCTTTTGAGCCAGAAGGCTGGTAACAAGATCTTAAAACTGAATAGGGAGCAGTGGGACCCTAAGCCCGTGCATCTCAGCCAGGCCCCGTGGCAGGAGCATGGGACCAACTTCCTGGGTGATGCGAGGCAGCTGGGCAGTTTCCTCTGAACGTGTCTGGATGTCCTTTGGGTGTCCAGTCCTAGGAACTCCAGCAGAGAGGGTACCAGCAGATGTGCTCTTTGCTACTGAGGCTGATGAGCCTGGGGCCAGGTGGGGAGTACCAGTCATCTGGGACAGAGGGATTGATTTCTGTCCAAGCCTGCTTGGAGTTGCCTATAGTAATATTCCCAATAGTGGTCCTCACTCCAGTGCCAGTCCTGGTGGGGTTTTCACTTGCTCATGGCAAAATGAGAAAAAGTAATGAATTCAACCTGAAGCTTTTCTTGCTATATTTTTGGTGTTAAAAATATCCTTATTTTATTAAAAGTGGATAGTAATAGAAGATGAGTAATTTTAAATATTTTCTTTCTTGGCAAAATAAAAAGCTGGTAAGCCCATGAAACTCCGAAGTCCAGGAACTGTTGGGCAGAGCGCACCTTCTCCGAGCAGGCGATGGAGGGGTCTGGAGCCCTGCCTCAGAGCCAGGGGTCCTTCTTCACCCTGAGGACAAGCGCAGCACAACCGGACTTTCCTCCCTGACAGGCTGTGGCTCAGATCCTGTCTTTCCGAGACCAGAACCGCCAGGCCTTGGAGGGCGTCTGGAACCGGCACCATGTGGAGCGGGTGGAGATCATCATGAAGGAGACTGTGGACGCCGCAGGTGCGTGAGGCCCCCCGCGCTTCTCAGAGGGAAGCTTTCTGCTGGAGCATGCTCTCCCCTCCCTCCAGGGTCCGCTGTATGCCCATCTCTGGACAAGGCTAAACCCCAGGGTGCTGCTGGCAAAGCCCAGGCAGTATGGCTGCTTGTGGGGGCATATGACCCAGTGGAACATGCCTGGCACAGACCCTAGAAACAACTGGCAGGCAGTTGGTGCCAGCAGTTCCCTGAGTTCTACACAGGGGGTGGTGCAGACCACATTCCACCTGGGATGCCCTGCGCTTCCTCCTGTCCTCTGACCCCTCTCATGTGTTAGTTCTCAGCTCCTTGGTGCTTCAGGAGCATTGTGACGACCTGAAGGGCCCCTCCCCTTCACCCTCTCTTGGCATCACATGCCTCCCTCCAGTCCTCCATGGCATCATCCTGGTCTTGGACTCATCCGGTCTGTCTGTCCCCCAGGCTGTCGGTCCCAGAGACACCTCCTCCCTGGTACCTGGCACATGCCTCAGAAGTGCTGAATAAACACTGCGTGAGCAGCGCTGACCTGGGAATCAGGAGCAGGTGTTAGCTGGGTGACCTCAGCACGTCACTTCCCGCATCTGTGAGATGAGGTGTATAGGTGACGACAGCTAATGGCATTCTGCAATGCTAGCCAGTTTTTGGAGAATTGACTGTAAAGCATTGGTTCTTACCCAGTAATACAAAAAGCTATTCTTGTTTTGTACTCCATCCCCCCCAGCAGCCATGTGAGGTGGGGACTGTTGTCAGCATCTTCTTCCAGATAAGGTAGGATGGCATGCCCAGGTTCCCTTGGCAGGAGGTGGAGGAGCCAGTCCTAGGGGCGGCAGTCTGGCCCCAGCACCCAGGCTGGGCACTGCCACAGGGTGCTGCCAGAGCAGCGCTAGTGTCCAGCTCACCCTGTGACTGCACCCCCCACCCCCTGTAGTGTGCACCTGGCCAGAGGGGGGGCCCGAGCCCTTGGACCTGGGGCTGACCAGAGGTCTCTCTCATTTTCTTTTACCTGTTCTTTCTCTTTGCCATTTTTCTTTTTTCCTTCTTTTTTCCTTGTTTACTCTTCTCAGCTTTCTCTCCTTTCCCCTTTGCATGTGTTTTTAGTGCTAAAGCTCTGTGTGAGGCTGTGGGGCTGCAGTGACTTAGGGACCCAGCCCTTGTCCCCTCACACCTCAGAGGTGCCTTGTGGGTGATAGTATAATCCTACTCTGATGTTGGGGTAAACTCCAGAATGGGCAGTGCAGGCAGAGCTGTGGGAGGCGGGCGAGGGAGAAGACATGGCAGCCAGGGGGCGGCCAGGCAGGACTTCCCGAGCCAGGCCTTGAAGGACATTGCTGTGTTCGAGAAGGTGCTGGCTTTCTCCTCTCCAGAACCCACGTCAGAAAAGGGTCCCGTGCTCCTGCAGTGGGCCTTCATGGGTCTCGGGGCATCCTTCGCCAGCCCTTCTACATTCCCCCTCCTCGTCCTCTGGGAGGGCTTGGGCCGGGCTTTTCTCCTGTGCCCATGTGTCCACCGTCCTGGCAGGATGCATGCAGGCCTTGTCCTGGCTTCATCTGCAGAGAGCTATGCTGCAGACCTGGTGCTGAGAGCGCGTGGTGTGCCTGCACCTCTCTCTGCCTGGACTTGGCTCAGTCCCCGGCAGGACTGGAAGACAGGACTCCTCTTCTCCTCCTTTCTTGGCACCTCCCTTCCGTGCCCATCCTGGCATGGGGAAGAGCCGTGATGTCTGGAGTTACCAGCTAGTGCTGTTACCTCTAGTTCTTCTAACCCTCCTACCACACTTCCTTCTTGGTATCTCATGTCATTCGTGGGCTCTTCGCAGGGTCCCTGTGGAGCCAGGCGCTAGGCAGACTTGCAGGCCTGATGATCCTAGCAGACATACATTTGGATTTTGGAGAAAGGAAAACAGGAGACAAGACAGAAAGACAGGCAGAGGCCTGGGCAGATCTGTTTGCCTTGACAAGCCTAAGGCAGGGAGGATCTTGGGTTTGCACAGCAACACGCAGCCTGGGCTGGCTGCCTCCAAGGGAAGGGAACAGCACCGGGGGCTCTGTCTTCAAGGCTGCTGTGTGCTGGCTTTGTCTGCAGCATGTTGGTTCTAACGGAAGGGTTTCAGTGCTTCTAAACCTCAGAGCACAGTGTTCTCTCATTCAGCTGGGCTCTGTGTCCTCAACCCAGAGGCAAAGGGAGACCCAGAGCAGAACAGGCAGGGATCCACTGGTCCTGAGGGGCTTGCAGCCGGGCAGGGTGTGGCCAGAGGGGGGCTAGTGCAGCCCTCATCCTTGTCAGAGATGGCCGGCAGGGCTGCAGCTATCCAGGGCTTTGGCTCGCCCTGATGGGCCTGTTTGCCCAGAACATTTGGTGACAATGTATACCTGCTGCTGCTCCTGTCCCCCACAGCTAGGGGGGCCTTGGGATGTGGAGTGCTTTGCCAACAGAACGAGGGTGCTCTCGGGGTGCATGCATGCGTGCTCACGCTCTCTCTCCCCCCCCTCCCTGTCTCGCTCTCTCCCTCCCCCCCCCTTTTTCGTGCACACACCAAAAGGACAAGTTTTGTCTGCATCCTGAGAAGATGACCTGGTGCAGGTCTGGTGGCCCAAGCAGGGTTCCTGCTGTCCCCTCTTGTGTTGATTTGGAGCTGGCCCCTCAGGGGACCCCATATGGACTCTGTAGTTCAGGCTGGGGAGAGAGGACGGGAGCTGTGAACCTGCAGCCACCCCTCTACGGCCAGGAGACCTGTGCCCAGCATGCCAGGGCCTCGCTGTCACCTTGCCAGGGCTGGGCCAGGAAGCAGGCAGGAGGAAAGACTGCCCTCCTGCCGGAGCTGGGTGGGCTTAGTAGGCGAGTGCCACCGTGGGACTCATAGGCTTCAGAGTCCTGCAGGTTGATCATGAAGCAGAAGAACAGTGCGGCAGGCCCTTCTTCCTGCCCCTACGGAGTGTTCTGGTAGACCCCCCAGCTTTTTATCCCCCTCCACCCCACAGTTGTGCAGCCTTAGCTGACTCCATGCAGGGGCAGCACTGGAACACCCTAGCACCTAGTGGCAGCCCAGGCCACCACCTGAGTACTGGGAAGCAGGGAGTGGCAAGGTCGTTTGGAGGGCTTCCCCTTACCCCCATTCACTCACCCAAATGGGTGGAAGCAGCTTCCCCAGCCCCTCCCCTCCATGGCTGTGTGCAAGTGGGTTTTTTTTCCTCCATGGCTGCAGCCTCTGCTCAGAGGAGTTTGCTGCAGAGTCAAGGTTGCTGCACAGACGGGATGGGGGAGGGGGAGGAAAGGAAAGAGCCATCCCTCAGCTGGCCCCAGTACCTGGCTCACTCTCAGTCTCACTCCGGGTGTTCCTCCCAGGAACCCCAGTCCAGTGAGCCCCTGAGAATCACAGATGCCCTCAGTACCCTGGCCAGGTCTCCTGAAGCAGCAGCATGGGCCACAGAAGGAGTGACATTGGCTGGGTCACAGCCTCTGTGTGGTGATGATCCCTGGCTGGCCCTCATCAGGGCATGGGGACAGTCTCTGCAGACAGAAGGGACCATGTCATTAAAGGCCTAAGGTCCCACTGTCTGGTTTGGGCTTCCTTTTCTCTGGAAGGTCTCTGGCACCTAAGAATCCAATCTTCCACCCAAGAACCCAATCTTCCACCCACTGCCCCTCACAGCCCCCAAAACTGGCCAGGCCGGCAGCAGTTGGCCCTTCTACTAGCCGGTGCTCAGTTTCCCCTCTGGGTAGAAGGCTTGATTTTGGCAGGGGGAAGGAGGGAGACTTCCTGAGGATGTCTCTGCTTAGGAGGGTCCCCACCTGTGACGGTGGAGTGACCATTCAGTGCCTCTCTCTGAGGGACCAAGGCAGCCAGAGCCCTCCCAGGTATACACACCAGCTGTCCTGCTTTCCAGCCTGGAGTGCCAAAGGGGCTGGGAGCTTAGTCAGCAAGGCCAGCTGCCCTTCCCGACCCATCTGCAGAGCTGTCTGCAAGGTGAGCTCAGGACAGGCAGCTACCGGCCTCTTGTCCAGCGAGAGCGCGCCAGCCAGCCAGCCAGCCGCTCCCTGGCCCTCGGCTCTTTTTATTTTTAGTGATCCCAGAAGGTATTGGTAGGGATTGCAGCTGGCTTTTGGTTGTTTTCTTTTTCTTTTTAGAAAATGTCTGTTTTTCCTGGGAAAACCTGGATCTCCCACAACGTGGAGGCAATGAGGAGGAGGTTTTGGTCCTGGTTCTGAAGGCTGTGTGACCCCAGCATTCAGCTTATCAGCCTCTTTGTAATGCTGATAACCCTAGTACCTCTCAGGGGGGTTTTAAGGATTAAATCAGATAATGTGTACGGAAATACTTTACAAATGGAAATGTTGTTCTCCTTCCAAGTTTACAAGGAGAGGAAGAGGCAGTGTTCTCACAGCGTCTCTGAGTTCCACGTGACTTATACTGGATTATTACATGAGGACCTGTAATGGGTCTGCGATACTCCCCTATGCCCATTCCTCACCTAATGTTTCTCTCTCACACAGACACACACACGTATATGTATTTACATCTCCACGTATTGACAATCTACATATATACTTTTTAATAGCTCTATGTTTCTTTTTTTTTTTGTCTTTTTCCGTGTCCGGCAACGGATCGCAACCCTCAGTGTCGCCCCCGTACCGGACCGGGACCGGCAACGGGATTGTAACCCTCGGTGCTGCTCCCGCACCTCGCTCAGCCAGTGAGCGGCCGGTCTGTATGTGGGATCCGAACCCTCGGCGGGAGCGCCACCACACTTCCCAAGCGGCGCACTGTAGCAGTGCGCCACCAGGCCGGCCTATAATAGCTCTATGTTTCTGTACAGTTCTATTTATGCCACAGAATATGTGGTATAAATTCTGTCATTAGGCATTTTGGTTGTTTCCAGTTTTTGCTATTTTCAGTAGTACTTGGTGAGCTTTTTAAAAAATTGAGATATAACTCATATTCCATAAAATTCACCTTTTTTTTTTTTTTTGAGACCGGCCGCACCACG